GGTTAATAGGTTAACCAACAGTCTTAACAAAATAGGAATCTTCACCATCTGATTATATTTTAAGCCAACACCGTTTCGATTTACATTTAAAAATTTTATACTAATAAAATAAACCCTGAGTTCCGGGTCAATTTTAAAATTTTAATTTACGTGAACCGAATATACTAATTGTCCGGAGCGTAAGCGAAGGACGATATACTTCTATGCAATATTAAAGTCATGGTTTCCGTCTGTCTGTCCGTTCATGTGATAATAATAAAAAAAAATCATATTGATGTTGATGGTTAGATAATCAATGTTCTATTATTAATAATTAATAATTACACGGCCCTATATTATTATTATACTTTGTCCGTGGAGTAATTTGTCACGGAGAGAGTTTATTTAAATTTCGACCATGATATTACAATTAAGTTATTATTTATATAAAAATACATTAAAAAAAGTTTAATATGTTAATTCATTATTAATTATTATATATACTTAATTGAATTCTATTTACTATTAATATTAAATATAAAAGAACAATTATTAAATGTGTTTTCTTTAAAAATACGTCGGAAGTGAGAGATCAGTTGTCATTAAATAACTCTCAATTAATTACTTTTGGCAGAATCGTTTTGCAATTCTAAATTATGAATGTTAGTTTCTTTATAAAATATGTAAGATAAAATAGAACCTTGATTATATGCATTGAAGATCAATTTAATTTTCAATTTCTTCAATTTTTCCATTTAAATTTACACGATATCGTTCTATTATAACCAATTATTAGTTGATTTATCAATTGAAATACAATTAATAATTGTTTATATATTTAAGATTGGCTAAATAATAAAATAATTTTTTATTATAAAAAAGGTTTTAACAGGTTTTTATTAATGACAATTTGGATTTTGGCATAATAAAAAAAATGCAGTTGTATTGAGATTAATGATATAAAATGAGAAAGAAAAAAGAATAATATTTAAAATAATATTTTATAATGATCAGGGGGCCGAATAATTATATCGTAACTTCACGGGTAATCTCTGATAACCCGTGAAGTTACTATCAATTATACCACAGTTCCTAATCAATTGTCGTGACTTTTTTTATTGATATTTTTCACGATATAAATTGAACAATCAAATTAATACAATGACATTCTCATATTATAATATATTGTATTTTCAATTAATAATAGCATTTAATTTATAAATAGATACTATTTCAATTAATTATTTTTGAATGTAAATAGAAACATTTGAGAAGGTAAAATTATGAAATATTGTGTTGTATCTAAAGAATTTGAAGCCAAAGAAATTTCTTGAAGAGGAATTTGCGATTTTGAAGAATTATTATTATTGTTAATTATATTATTTAATATAATTGAATTATTTTATTTAGAAATGTCTGTAATATTAATCAATGTATTTAAAGAATTAAGTTGTTGATGTTCATTAATTTTTTTATAAGCACGAACCCCTTGAACACATTTATGACAAGTAAATTGCATGATAGCCTGTTCTGAAACTTCTTGATCTTGTAAAATTTGAGTAGCAGTTTTACATCCAGAATAATTGGAAAGTAACTCTAATGATAGACATTTAGAAAAATAGAATTGAATGTCTGAACATGGACTATTATCATTTTTAGGTATTAAAATAATATAAGCCTCTTCTCTTTGGATTCTGTGTTAATTATTTTTGAATGTATAATGAAAAAATAGTAAACCATTATGCCCATCAGACTTAAACTAGTCAACTTTTAAGTAATAATGTTCACCTCTATGCTGTATAATTTGTTGGATTTGTTGAGGATTAATAGCAATTGAACCTAATATTCTTGCAGATCATATAACTTACCATATAAAATATCATGTAAATCAGGAAACATATATTTATCATGCAAATTAATATGTAAAATTGATAAATGATGAAGAATATAACTATTAAATGCATTAACAGCTTGCTTAACAGATGTTATTTTATATTCACTACTATCATTTTTTTCATTATAAAAATATATTCTACAATTTGTTTTTAAAGCTGAGTGATATTATTAAGATCCATTAAAGAAATAAGATATTCAGCATTAACATGAAATTCTTCAAATTTTATCATCCAGTTTTTAGTAGATTTTTCAGTATTTTTAACTTTTGCTTTTTTAAAATAATAGAAAACCTTTTTTGAGTAATGTCTTGAAAAATATTTGTAGTAATATTCTTAGAGATTAAGCTATCTGCTATTTGAAAACTTGGAAAGGGTTTATTAAATGCAATAGAATTTTTTTATTTTTTTACCCATATTAAAGTGAAAAGAAAAGATAAAAAAATAAAAAGAAAATAAAAATGTAATAAAAAGAAATAAAAAGATTGTAAATAAAATAATGGTGGATTAAAAGCTTAGCTTATTATAGTTAATACTATATAATAGAATTGTGATATAAAATAATATTTTATAGAGTCACTATAGAATATAATGATTTTTACAGCTATGCTAAAAAATCATTGATATTTACAGTTTTTTATAAAATAATTATTACATATACTATTATTTTTTCACTTTTAAATTTAAAAAACTCCTGATATCAAATTTAAGCATTTTTCCTCTTCTTTACTTTTTTATAATTTTTACAGTTTTTAATACATTAGATCTCTGATAATTAAAAGGCTGAAAGATAATATCTCTAAGAGCACAAACTTGAGAAACTGTGACAAATGAAAAACTGGCAGCAAACTCTTTACTATTTATATCTATTTTAACTTTTGTAAGGTAAGTCCCTAGTTTTTATGAGTAGTAATAGCCTATGCGAAACAAATAGAAACTTATAAATATGAATATAATGTTCTGTTTTTATTTTCTTAAGTGCATCGTACTGGTGCAATCAGGATAACTTTTATACTGTCTAAAGCAGTAATTATGCAAAGAGCTTCAGACTTACAACAGTCACTATTACTTAGTTAGTATGATCTTATAATAAAGAATTATAAATTAATCTAAATAATTACTAATGTTTAAAGAATTACAAGAGAAATTTTTAAATACTTAACAAGAAACCCAAGATTATGTTTATAGACTGCCCTTTCACTAAGTAAATTTTTAACATTTTAATATTGTATATATATAATTAATTTTTAGAATAGCGAGATCTTGACTTATCATTATTAATTATAGAATTCACTAATTTGATATTTACATGTAGGTTATTAATTTTGATAACCAAAAAAATTGTATGCAAGAAATTTATTCATAGATTACATAAGAATTGTCTTTATTAATAATTCATTAGAATTAGAATTAAAAAAGTAAAGATATAAATTAAATAAATATAAAGTATATAAAAATGACATAAATGAAAATTTTCCTAAAATAATTAATAGTTATTCAGTACAAAGTGCTAATTAATTATTATATTGGGAAAATCAAATTTGATTGGTTGATTTGGAATTTTGTGAGAGTCTCAAATCACAAATCAAATTTGATTTCTAATATTATTATAGATAGCAATAGTTATTTAGCTCAAAATGCTAAATAAGTGATTTATCCAGTATTTTGTGATTAAGCTATTTATTTAACTATTTTTTAAACTTATTTTTATAAATAAATAATATTTTTTTTACAAACAATTTTTTTCATGATATTTTTCTTTTTTTACAAATTTTACAAATAATTTACTTTCGTAAACTAAATTACTTTAATAGAAATTATAAATAATTTTACATATTAAAACTATAAATTATATTAATTTTAATAACTAGCAAATTTTAGATTTATTTCAAATCTACAGCTGAGAAACGGTGTTGGCTTAAAATATAATCAGATGGTGAAGATTCCTATTTTGTTAAGACTGTTGGTTAACCTATTAACC